TTCCGAGATTCAGGGGAGACCACCTGGCCCACTTTGGGCGAGAGCGTGCGCACCAACCAACGAGTCTTCGTCTTCTACGCACCCATCATCGAAAGCGAGGCTCACCGGAACTCGTCCAACTACAACCTGACGTGGATCCACAGTGAGAGATTGCTAGGGAGCACGTGGAAGCCATTTTCTATCCCGGACACTTGTAAAGAGGTCTACATATTACTGTGCATTTTGTTCATACGGCGTGTGCTGTATTTAGAGCCGGTGGTACGGCTGGCGAATGGGGCGGCCGCCCCAGGTCCCGCGCTTGAAGGAGCCTCGCGCTTTTGCACCGTCATTGTTGTCTGAATTAGTTTATTAACTTAAATAATCTTCGCTGAATTTAATTTGAAAAAAAAAACAAGTAAATAGCCGATATTACTACCACGGTTAGTGTTAGTGATTTATCTCCGACATGAACCGGGACAGGCCGTCATTCGATACGAAGACATTAGTGTCACACCAAGCTGTGCAGGGCACGGTCTCCTCGCTTTTAACCTGAGGTGAATGGAGGTTATACATTTTAAAAAACTAACATATTATTTTCAACAAAAGTCCTTATCAAGTTTTCCATATATCGCTGAAGATACACATGTCATAGCCTGTGAATTTATTTTGCGGACAGAGCGAGAGAGAAAGAGAGAGAGAGAGAGAGAGAGAGAGAGAGAGAGAGAGAAGTGCGCACATGGGCTTTTATATATTAGGATTACGCCGATATTCATTAAATTACATTTTTTGTGCATACTGTAGGGGCATCTTTTATGTAGTTATGCTTATTCATTACAATACTTTTTAAGGACATATATTACAGTTATCATGCCCATATTCATTTTATATATTGTCAGGGCATCTTTAGATAAATTATACTTGTATTTTTTTTTTGTGAAGGGCATGGATGCAATAATTATACACGTATTCATTTTGGTGAACTTTAACGGCATTCGTAATGTGATTAAGCACATGTTTGTTTGTTTTTTAAATTTATTTTAGGGATACCCTTTATAATGGTTAAGACCATATTGAATTATGATTTTTTTATATTGTTGGGATTCCACACAAATTTTGAAGTCTATACTTATACTTTTTTAATACATCGGTCCGAGTTCGCTTTATTGTAAAGTTGTCCTGATTTCTCTCACGTCAAAAGTACCGACTTTCAGGGCAGCCCGAACATGCCATCGGGAAACTCATTAATAAGGTGTAGCTGGCTGTCACGTGGTTCTCTCCTTAATTATAGACACAAACATTTTTTTGTAAGACCGCGGTCTTGACTTGTAATGTAATACGTGGACTCACTATAAACACGCACCTTCTCTTGAATGAATCCGGTCAGAGATCAAGTAACTTAGTTCTCGAACTTGGGGGACCCTTCTCTTAGGTGTGGCATCCAACAGCCACAAATTTTAATGTAAATTTATCCTTTACCTCACCCCACTCACCAACTGCCACCCACCTACAAGTTCCACCCTACTGAGCGTTCATGATTACATTTGAAAGTCATTTCTTTTTGCTATCCTTAGCCGTAACCATTGTTTATTCACGATACGTAACAAGTCCAAATTCCATCCATGTTTCCTATTTGTTTTAACTTTAATTATTTAAGTGTTTGTTGATATTGTAATTTGTCTAAAATTCTGTGCTTACCAACAGTCTCTTTTCTAAACACACATAACGCATGACTAATTAACTAATGGTCATTAACAAACAACTTAAACAGCTTTTTGTCCTAATTTTTTGGCAAGTTATTGAATTTTCTTTAGTGATTTGGATCGATTAAAAAGCTATCGCAAGTGATTTAATAACTTAGTACAATGTAAATAACATTGGATATACAGTGGGAGAGTTGGCCCCGGGTATCCACACAACTAAATTCGTACACTATTTCCCTGAATTCATACAGCCTCACTGTACATGTTTTAGACACCAATAGAAAAACTCAGGCCCCTGCGCGGATGGTTGGCCCTAAGCCCCGTGTATTCCTAACGCCGGCTCTGGCTGTATTGTTTAAGGAAAAAATAATATTGAAAACTAGCTTTTTAAATCCTAAATACAAAGTTTTTTTCTAATAAGTCTTCTATAAAAGTTTTAAAAGAGGCTTCATAAAGTGCGACGTCACATTTTAGTTTTTAGTTTTTTGAAATGTGGATTTGTGGTCAGCACTCTGCCCAGGCGCCTTTAATTTCCCCAAAGTCAAGTACCCATAAGAGCTGGGTGGACTCGGGGCGCCCAACATTCACAATCGCGAACTGAGATCCGAACTCAAGACCATCGGTTCGGCAGTCAAAATCTCTACCATTCAACAACGCCGCCCGTGGCTATGGGTAAGGAGGATGTAAAAATAGCAAAATTAGCGTGACGTCATTTACGGACGACCCTTTTTGTAAACTGGTGTAAAAAAAAATGTAGGCCTACATCCTTTTGCTTACGATCTACAAAGCAAATTTCAGTGTTAAAATGGTAATTAGTGATGTTTACGGCAAGCTAACTACTAAATTAATAATCAGCGGAAGTCATTTAAGGCAGTTCTTTAATTGTTTACATCCATTTAGAGTGGGGGGGGGGGGTGGGGAGGGGATCCTCAGTTTTCCCCACAACTTTCAGATGTCTTATTGCCTAGCTCTAACTATATGTGTTATGTCACATATATTATGTGTGTTATGTCACATATAATATATGTGTTATGTCACATATAATATATGTGTTATGTGACATATTTTAAGCTCTAACTATGTGTGTTATGTGACATATATTATGTGTGTTATGTGACATATTTTGACCGACTCAGGTGGTGGATGTGAGCCGAGCGATGTGCCGCCACAGACAGAACAAGGAACTCCTGGAGGTCTCTATAGTCCCAGAGAGCCCCGGATGTAACTCGAACAAAGCTCAGAAATGCCGGCAGTATCTACACGAGGCGTTGAAGGCCTGTGAGGAATTTAGACACCCGTAAGTTTTTTTTTTTTTTTAAAGCGAGTGTTATCCGCACCACTCCTTTATATGCCGAGGTCAACGAAACAGGTGAATTCTACTTCACCTACCCCATAGGCCAGCCAGGCCCGAAAGGGTAACTTTTTAAAAAACTCTTCCATTGGCTAATTTCTGGCAGGGATGACGCGATTTCCTCAACCAGTGACAATGGTTGTATCAAGCAAAGATAACTCTTAACGTTTTGTAATGCATCAGAGTGTTTTATTTTCAGGAACGGCGACTCTCCAAATGTTTTACTAGTAGATTACCCGGAAGAAAACAGCGACTCCATTAACTCGGTCTTTCACGCTGTGTTCCATCAAAACGTGAGGAATATACTCAAGCATCGGCCTCAAAACTGTGTGGTAAGTCAATGGAAACATTCAAACATTGGCTTTATTGGACGGGGGGGGGGGGGCGGGTGGATTCCATTAAACATATTGAAACATCGGCCTTGTCTTTGAACAGTGTTTCTTCCAGACTTTTTTTCTCCGGGGGGGGGGGGGCAATTGATATTTTCGAGGGGGGCGGTCAACATTTTTCGGGGGGGCAGACACAAGTAAAATTGTATGTTTACTATGTAAAATCCATATCATTCGGGGGGGGGGGCGGTAGACTTCCTTCGGGGGGCTTACTTCGGGGGCTTAGCGCCCCCCCCCCCCCCCGAAGGTATGCCTGGAAGAAACTCTGGTCTTTGAGTTGTAAAAGGGCTGGTAAATAGGTCACCAACCAGTTCTACGGCTCAATAAAACCTGCATGAGCCATATAACTGGTTGGTGACCTACTTACCAGCCCTATTGAAAGCCACACAAAAAAAAAAACCTTCAAATCTCAGCTTTATCAATAAGTGGTTGGCCGAAGTCACTGAGCACAAAGTCATTCAAACACCAGCTTAAAAGTTGAGTGATAAGTCATAAAGTATCTCTTCAGTAAATGCCACAAACAGAAACAAACACAGAAGCTAGTGTCTAGTTCAAACCTTTCATCTCAAATTCTGATTTTCACCAGGTGAAGATCGACGCAGCCGTTAGTGTAGACGACGATACGACGCTCTTTTTTGTCGGAGAAAAAATTATTGTGCACAAAGTGGCCCAAACAGATGTGAAGTACGTCATCTTGTCTTTCTATAAATAAACTGTTGAGGTCAGAGCTGGCTATGACGTCATGGAAATATATGGTCTCTTGAAGCAGCTGGAGAGGATTTAAAACTGTTATTTTGTTCTATAATTAGTATACATCACTGTATTTATGTGTCTCGAGTTTGAATCCGGGTCCAAGTCAGTAGAACATCCCTGAGTCCACCCAGCTCTGATAGATACCTAACTCATGTTAGGGAAAGTAAAGGCGGCTGGGCAAAGTGCTGACCACACCTTCCCTTCATATGCCGAGGTCAAAAAACGTATGAACTCTACTTCATCTGCTAGGTCTAAAGAGGATTCTTTACTGTATTTATGTGTACTAACTATCCTAATTATAAAAATAATATGGATTTTAACGATCAAAGTAATCGAAGTTGTTTGATTGTATCGTCATCCTACCGCCTAAGTAAAGTTCCCCTCCAGCAGTCTAGCTCTCTACCGCTAGGCCACTCCGTCCACCTACTGCCTAAAATAGATCCTAACCCTAGTCATAACGGCATTTGTAACTAATCTAACTTTAAACTCAGTGTCTACGCTGATATTCAAAAATATAATTTCAGTTTTCATTCACGAATGGTCTCCTTCAGACACTAACGTCCTAATGTGTTTACTTTGTCTTAATGTGGGTACTGGTGTAGCGTGTGTATATTTCTGAGTCCACTCAGCTTTGATAAGTACCTGACTCCGGTCAGGTCAAATAAAGGCAGTAGGGTATAGTGATGGTCACACAACCCCATCATAAGTTGAGTTACTTAAACGTTTGGATTGTGTGTACGTTATGTGTATAAAAGAACTTAAGATTTTACACACGTTTTACCATTGTTTAGTGTATATATTAAGGCCCGCAAATGTTTTCTTTTAAAGAAACGTACCTGGACTATACAATATAGACACCGCATACAAAATTCCTGGAACCAACATCATAAAGGTTTTTAAAGGTATGTGTTAAGCTGGTCTTTTTTTTTTTACCTTTTTTATTTTGTTAGTTACACGGTTTCTCTGTTAGTAAAAAACACAATTAAGGATTACGTGTCAACTGATTTCAGCCTGCTTTTCTTTTTGGATTTGCTTCCATAGCCTTTGTCCAACCAAGAACAAACTACAAGGCAGCAGTTGTTTGATTTTGGAGTTGTCTCTTCTAGAAGAGTGGCTGTCCGCAGATAACGAGCCTCATCTGCCCGAGGGTTCGAACTCGAGACTTTTCGGTTTAGCAACCATGAGCTTTACCGACTCGACCACGCCGACCCCTTAGATTCTAGTTAATATAGACAGTTTTTTTTCTTATGTTTTATTGTTTACAGAGTTTCTTCCAGGCATCTCTTGGGGGGGGGGAGCTCAGAAAAAAGTCCCCCCCCCCCCCCCTCAACGAAATGGGATTTATATACTATTATAGAAAATATATACTTTACGAGTGTCCGCCCCTCCCTCTGAAAAAAATATGAACACTGCTTGTTTATAAACAAAATATCCTCATACGACACACTATCAACTCGGTTCCTTAAAAACACGTCAATCATTTTACATCAACTTTAACTGTAAACATCTACAGGCTGTGAATCATGGGACGTCGATGGCGCCAGCCTACTTCCTGTGACGTCAGACAGACAACAAATACAGACCTGTGACGTTGACGCTGCCGTGGTGTGGAACTCGAAGGTTCATGTTTTTAAAGGTACCACACATCCACACGTGGGTCAGTGGTGGAACTAGAAAAAAGGGGCCACCCCGAAAAAAAAATTTTGTAGGCCCCCCCATATAAATATATAGGCCTATATATGTGTATATATATATATATATATATACTCTCAAACACAACATCAGGGGCGGAACTACAGTGCCGCCAGACCCCGCAATGCGGGGGGGCCCACGCCATTTAGGGGCCCACGGCCGACCATATAAATGACTTAATGTTTGTTTTGTAAAAAAGATTACCGTAGCTGCTCATTTTTTCTTCGTTTTTAAACCACTGTGAAAGCCGAGTCCTCTTTCTCCTACAATGAAACTTATCAAAGATAAGCAAACGTTCAAACCACTTCCATGACTTATTTCCCTTTTTTAAATAGTCAAATAGTGATGCTCATAGTCTCTTTTTAATAGATTTGTACTAAACAAATTAAAAAGCAATTACTTCTCTTTATTATTATTTGTTTATAAATTACTTACTAAAGAATGACACTGTATAAAAAGAAAATGTATTTAAAATTAATAAAATAAATACAAAAAAACATAAAAATAAACATGACACGAGACACCATTATTTACAGAAAGCTTTCATGTTTTATATTCTTTTGACTAATATAAGGTTAATGGTCTCAAAGCAGAGATAATATAAAACTGATTTTCACAAAACAGACTAATGCACTTACACTCATGACACGATGCTGTAATTTGTTTTCATTAAAAAAAACCCACGTATTTCTCATAACACGAACAGGCCAGCATGAATAAGTATCCTATGTTCGTATGCAGTGGCGGAACTAGAAAAAAGGGGCCACCCCGCAAAAAAAATTTTGTAGGCCCCCCCATATAAATATATAGGCATATATATATATATATATATATATATATATATATATATATATATATATATATATATATATATATATATATATATATACTCTCAAACACAACATACGAACATAGGATACTTATTCATGCTGGCCTGTTCGTGTTATGAGAAATACGTGGGTTTTTTTTTAATGAAAACAAATTACAGCATCGTATCATGAGTGTAAGTGCATTAGTCTGTTTTGTGAAAATCAGTTTTATATTATCTCTGCTTTGAGACCATTAACCTTATATTAGTCAAAAGAATATAAAACATGAAAGCTTTCTGTAAATAATGGTGTCTCGTGTCATGTTTATTTTTATGTTTTTTTGTATTTATTTTATTAATTTTAAATACATTTTCTTTTTATACAGTGTCATTCTTTAGTAGGTAATTTATAAACAAATAATAATAAAGAGAAGTAATTGCTTTTTAATTTGTTTAGTACAAATCTATTAAAAAGAGACTATGAGCATCACTATTTGACTATTTAAAAAAGGGAAATAAGTCATGGAAGTGGTTTGAACGTTTGCTTATCTTTGATAAGTTTCATTGTAGGAGAAAGAGGACTCGGCTTTCACAGTGGTTTAAAAACGAAGAAAAAATGAGCAGCTACGGTAATCTTTTTTACAAATCAAACATTAAGTCATTTATATGGTCGGCCGTGGGCCCCTAAATGGCGTGGGCCCCCCCCCCCCCCCGCATTGCGGGGTCTGGCGGCACTGTAGTTCCGCCCCTGACGTGGGTTCTGCTAACACTGCAAGGCACTGAACTCTACTGTACACTATCAATTTATTTAAAAAGTAGTATTTACCCTATAACGATTTAAAACACTTATAATGCATTAAGCGATTAAAAGCTGGTAGTTTTTCCAGCAGTATTATACACATCAAACCGTTTACTATCCATCAAGGTAAAACGCGAAACCAAGCAGCAGGAGGGGGACATATTTTCTGTGACCCATCCACGGTTTTAAAATATATCAAGGACATTTTTTTTTAAATAACTGAAATGTAAAATTTAAAACTAATCGCAAATTGGGAGACTCATTCCTTGGGATGGTGTTCAAAACACACATTGGTTGTGCATTTCGCTGACCACACTATCCCTTCATATACCGAGGTCACAGAAACATGTAAACTCTACTTTACCTGCCCCGTGGGTCGCCAGGTCCGAAATCACAAATATCATATCAGTAAATATTAACAAGGGTGCTTGATTTCCCCAGGATGTAGCGTGACGTCAGAAGGACTCGAACAAAACCCACTGCCGCAGTGGGGGCTGCCCTGCAACATTGACACAGTTCTGCTGGCTAAAGGGGAGTTAATTTTCTTCAAAGGAAACGAGTACTGGACATACACGGCAGACAAAGAGATCAAACAAAGGGGCAATACTCTGGACTGGAGGATTGATGCAGTAAAATGTCAAGAGAATTAAGTTTCATTTGTTAACTTTTAGACACTCTGTTGTTAATTTCTTGATTAGCAGATCCTTTCAAATGTTAAATATTTTTCCTTGTGTAGAATAGATCAAATACATCTGTGAGATTTAATTAAGTCAATAATATTTTGATGATTTACCTTTTAAGTTGTACTCTGTATTAACCTGTATGTCTTTTAATATGAACTTTCACACCTAATATGTATTTTTTCATTACATTACAAGTTATTTTCTAATAATTTAAAACAGTTAATCAAACTACCCATTATTATTTATTATACAAATAAATAATTTAAAAACCATATATTAAACAATAAAAAACTGATTTTAACAATAATATTTTTATTCATATGTATGTCAAGTCATAGCATGGATAAAGTAATAAAACATCAAGTTTCCTAATTATTAAATAAGACCCAAAACTCCAACTAACTAGTTTACTCATGTTCTTTTGTTTTTGACAATTAAGTTTAATAAGAATAGAAAGAAAAAAAACTTTCAATTAAAAAACTGTACCCTCCCCATAATTTGTCAAATACTTTAGTACAAAACAATCACTTAAATTACTATAAACTCAAACAAATGTAAAGAATACCATAAAAACTGGCACCCTATTACAAAATAATAGCTGAAACTGGAGCTTGATCATGAATGAAAATGTAGAAACAACACAAGCTGGCGATTATCATTGTGTATCCATTGGCTGAGGCGTGACTTCAGTGCCAAAAACATCAATTTCAATTTTCTTGACCTCAGACGACAGGATGGCAGTGGTTCCTCTCTTGTACAGGTAACTTCCCTGTCTGCAAAAAAGGTGAAAATACGTTTGACATCACATAATACACACAGCAGCAGAATGTATCATAAGATATTGTGATTATCCAAGAATCATAGAATAGGTTTAATATTTTATTTATCTTTTAACTGTAAAGTACTTAGGACATTCAGATAATGTGAAAAAAATTAATTAATCATTATTGCAAGGGCAGTTTATGGTTAAAGTAAGAGCAGTTTTCCAAACATGTAGACTCTTAAAGGATAGAAAAAGTAGTCCCCCACCCCTCCATCTTTGATGGGTACCTGACAATAGTCTGAGAAAGAAAAGATCTATGCATAGAACTGACAACACATTGCCAAACCCTAGAAACAAAAAATCATGAGCAGCTGCTCTAGGACTCATTAGTTCTTAAACGGCACATTATTCACACAGAGGTAATGCCATGTAGTTAGGCATCATGCGTAAGATGGTGTAACACTTACTTGACACCCTTCTGGTTAGCTATCTCATGAGGACGTATATACTCCACTTTGTCCTTGGTGATGACACAAAGATCTACGTTACTACCAGACCCAAGATCATTGAAAATACCAGCGGCGATGGCGTCTCTCACAAGCTGCATGGCCTCTTCTCTCTGTCAAACATAAGCAAGCATGTCAGGTTGTAAACATAAAAAGAAACACTTAGCCAAAAAAAATTGTGCTCAATTCTGATCAGTCTATCTGATATTGCCAGTTTTACCTGCACATTATATATGACAGTTGTGTGTGGATATTTTTTTACTTGCAGATATTATTAGCTGGTGTTTTTAATTAATATTGATGCCAAGCTAATAAATTTTTTTTAAATTTTACAAAAAGAAGTTAACTGGTGAAACTTAAGGGTAGGCTTACATTCATGTTGGGCTTGAAACGGTCCTCAAATGTTGCCATAGCTGCTAAAGATCCAGAACCTGAAAAAACAACATTTTTCTTTAAATTAGTACATTGAATAACAGAAAAAAAATTCATTAATAAAAAATAAATAACTTAATTGAGAGAGGAAAATATTTTACCCATGGTGACATATGGAAGCTTATCTGTTGATCCATGCGGCCAGATACTGTAAAGGTTGGGACCTGAGACATCTACACCACCTAGAACAAGGGCTGCACCAATGTATCCCTGGTATCTGATCAAAGTAATTCATCAGTCTGTCATTTAAACTTCATGGAGAAATACAGCATGTAACATAACATAAGTACCTCTTATGTTAAACAAAACAGAGCACTGTATTTTAAAGCACTCAGGTCACCATTCAGCAATTAAATGTTTTCAGTTATCTTTACATACATTAACAGGTTGAATAAAGAAAAACACGAAGCACTTTGTAAAATAATACAACTGAACAGAGACTAAAAGTTAGACAATAAAATTTAAAGTTAACACAAGACCTCATTCAACTGAAATTAAAATAAGCTAAAGCCCCACAGCATGGGGCTCATACAACATGTAAATTTTATAATTTTGAAATGCGGTTTCACCCTACAGTACAATCACATAATTTATGTGATTCTACTATGAATTTAAAATGCTGTGTCCTAGTTATATGAGATCTTATCAAATACCTCCGACGGCCTCATACAAAAAAAAGATACTTTTTTTTACCTGAACAACATTTGCTTGAGAAGTCTATTAGCAGTGCAGACTCTAGGGGCCCGACCTGCATTAAGTCTGTGTAATTCTAACTCTGCAGAGATCATCTGTGTTGTCATTTCTGTATCTGCAGCCGTTCCCGCACCACAGCAACTGAACATAAATTATTGACTTAACTGACTATTAGTAAGGCCATCAATATGTTAACTAGTGTCTCAATTTTTTTTTAAAGCTCAAAGATTCCGAGCAGAACTTACTAGATATTGTCAGCCAAATAGTGGATTTTGGCACAGTTCTTGTCAGCCACTACTGTATCTTCAGTTGCTCGTGTGTCAGCTCCTAGAACAACACCATCCTGCACAACATCATTGGATAACTCATTTATTTAAACTTTTACTTTAGAGAACTTGATCTATTTTCATTAAATATGATGTAATAACTAAAATAGAACAGCATTTTGTACTTGATTGTTGCATTAATGCATTTAATAAGGTTATGATTGCAAATAAATTAGGGATTTCTTCTTCATTTTAGTGTTGGAAGGGATCCCCCTCCATCACAATTAAGGATATGTGTCAACTAGTTATGCGCCATTGAGGCCATTGACTCCGATTTCAGCCTGCTTTTCTTTTTGGATTTGCTTCCATAGCCTTTGTCCAACCAAGAACAAACTACAAAACAGCAGTTGTTTGATTTGGAGTTATCTCTCCTAGAAGAGTTGCTGTTCCCAGCTAATGAGCCTCATCTGCCCGAGGGTTCGAACTCAAGACTTTTGGGTTTAGCAACCATGACCTTTACCGACTCGACCACGCTGACCCCAATTAGGGATTTGAAAGCTATGTCTTAAAATGTCTGAAAAGGCAGAGTATGAGTTAAAATAGATATTGATAAAAAGCAAATAGTGTAATGCTTACCTTAAAGACAATACCAGCTATTGTTGTACCTGTTTTATAAGCTGTTGGCAGCTTCATACCCATTTGTTCAATCCTTGCATTTCTGAAAATAATTTTTAATGGTATTAATAGCCCTAATTTATTTCTATTTTTTAAAGTTTGAAAACTGTTCCATGCGATCAGTTGAAAGGGCAGAAATTGGAAAGGTTGCATCATCATCAACTAAAACAAAATCATCAGGTACATTCACTTATGTTTTTGCCTAATTTATATTTCTTAAAGACTTAAAACAATTTTAAAATAGATCTTTATTTCTTAAATAATAATTATCTTTTAAATTATAATATTGCTGAATTATAGTTCTAATTTCACCATTTTTTAGGCATGACTTCCAACAATTTTATGTCTTAGTTCCCGTGACCTTCTTAGAATTATTGTTTAAAATGTTTACCACAAGCAAAATGGCAAGGTTTTCACGCTATAAAAACAAACTATAGGTGGCAGGGCTATATATGCCAGAAAATTTGGTTCGGAGAATGGGTGCTAACTTCCAAAGTTTCATTAAAATTAATAAAACTATTAAAATGTCGATGTAGGTACAAAAGTGAGCAAGTAAGTAAAGCATTATTAGTTTATAAGTCTATAAAAAAGAAATAAAACATTGTCAGCACTTTTTTTAAATGACCGGCTCTCATTTCACAACCAATTTATTTTTATTTTTTAAAAACCACGTGACCACTATTTGTTGGTTGATCACTAGTGAGGAACTCTGGTGCATAGCCAATAAAAAAGTCGAACCGATTCATGGTTTGCCATGACCTCAAGACTCAAACGTAAGAGTGATATAACATGGGTTGCAGTAATGGAAAGGTGTGTCATGCCATGGCAGTGAGTGACAAATATTAAATTAAATAATTTAGTTTAGTTTAAAACGAATTAAAAACTTCTAAATTAGAGCCTAATGGATTAAATATGGATGTCTAGAATCTTAATAGGCATTTTGATGAGAATTTCAGAATGATTTTTTAAATTAAAAATGTATCAATAATAGCTAGCACACTAGTACACTAAGCCAATTTAGCATTTTTTAACTTTCTGTGCAAAGTCATTATTACTGAAAAAAATTCCAAAGTCAGGTCAGCCTGTGGCACCCTCCACTGAACTTGACTAAAGGAAAAATTATTTGACCTGTGACCTTCATTAAAACAGAATGTACTTTTGTTTTTTTTTAATTATTAATAAACATGTGCTTAATCTTACCAAATAAGTAATACAAATTTGAAAATTAATTTTAATTACTGTTATAAAGTGAGATAAACATGTGTTTTCTTGAGGGCACATCACAATTATAACTTTATATTTCTGTGGTTTATGACTATATTTGTACACAATCAGCATGCTATGCTTTTAAAATTGATAAATTTAAACGATCATCAATGAAGAAAGCGTAAACATTCTGTTTTTAGGTGTGACATAAAAAAATAGTCATAAATCTAGCCAAATGATTGGATTCTTACACGGCACACATTTTCCCGTGACTCATTTTCACCAAACAAGATTATGATAAATTGGCATTATTGGGGGGTGATTGTTTTGTCACGAACATATCTCATAAACTCCATAAATTATTACCAGTTAATTGTAATGTGTGTAAAATTGATGCTTTCAAGTTTTATATGCACATAGACTGGTTTGCTATGGAAGCGTTATTTTAGAGTTATTTGATTTGAAAGACAAGAATACATAGAACTATTTTCACTTAGGCGCCGGTTGCGAGACAAAGAAATTAGGTCAAAAGTACATCTGACAAGTCTTAAATAACAGACTGAAATAAAAACAGATAGTTCCGATTTCTGAAATTAACAATGGCCTCATAGTCATTAGTTTTATCCCTCTACCGTTTAGTGAAAGCAAAACTGGTCCCCATTTTAGTATGCGCATGAGCCGTGAGATGCCACGAAAATTACAAACAAATTACAAAAACGGCAGTGTTGAATTGAACGGCCTACTTAATCAAGATCTAGATCCTAGATAGGTGTGTTTTGGTTGTGTTGATAATAAAATACACGCTCAATCAGAGGTGAATATGAAGCAGCGAATAAAATACGCTAAAATGGAGTTTTACCTCTAGATCTAGTTTTATTCGCCTTGCTAGTTATAGACTTGATTTTATGAAAATTTGTTCTTTTTAAACTAAAAATCTACTATTGCTTCGAAAATTTGGAACAATGAACGGGAAACAACACTCATTCAAGAATCTACTGTCTCAATCAGAAAAATCAAAACTGCTGAGTAACTGAATGAACTGCCAGCAGCACTAACAACAACAGTGGATATCACCACAGTAAAGATCTTATGCAATCAAATAAGACGTTATTAAATTAGCTGCTTACTAAACATATTTCTAAAATTTTCGTTGAGTGAAATTGTGTAAATAAAAATTGTACCTCGCACAGTTTTCAAAAGAAAATCCTCCTTTTGGTGGTTCAGCACACAGCGCAGCCATTTTGAAAGTAAACAAGTTATGCCGGTTGAGCATAGAAAATGCTTTTTATTTTAAGAAAAATAGTTGCAATTTTTTTTTACTTTTATTTGTAAGGAAAACTAATAGCTAATTACGTTTAATCAATTGTCAATAAATATTTCTGAATTGTATGTTTGTATCATATGTTATTTCTCATAGTTATAATTATATATAACCCAAGTATGAACTTGAAAATACAAACAGGCTTATGTGGTAGGGTATGTTTAACTATAAAAAGCTATTAAACTGTTTATTATGCCTATACATATTTATATATATATATATATAGTCTCGCTTTGTCACTTAAAAGTATGTAGGCCTACTCATATACAGGTAAAAAAGATAAAACAGATAAAATTCAATAAAATAAAATGTGAACATCCAGTGGTGTCGCTGGGTTGGGTGTCTGGTGCAGCCCCCCCCCCCCCCCCCCTCTTTTTTTCTGTTAATTTTGCAGTTGGTATCATCCCGTAAAACTTTAAAATGTTCACGAACTGGCAAAAAATATGTATTCTAGGTCTAGATATCTTGTAATTTTTTTTGTCTTGGTTTTACCCCCTCAATTATATCGTCCGGTGCGGTCCGCACCCACGCCCCCGCCTCTGCTAACATCTAATATTTTAATTGTCCAGCCTATTTTATGGAGTTTATACGGACCTTCTCTCCAGAGGCGTAGCGACCCTTCCCGGCGCCCGGGGACATACTTTCAATTTGGCGCCCCCTTAGGAGCAAATTTTCGATTTGCTCCCCCCCCCCCCCCTCGAACTTTTCATTTGCACCCCCCCCTCAAACTTTCAATTTGGCGCCCCCCCCCTAAGGTCGGCGCCCGGGGACATATGTCCCCCCCCCCGCCCCCCCCCCCCCCCCCTCGCTACGCTACTGCTTCTCTCTCAAACTGACATCTCACAACAAAGAGTAAAAAAAAGGTGGTGCTAAAAACAAGTCAATGTAAGATTCCTACCAGAAGAGACATAAATAAAAGTAAAAATAAACATGTATTGGCTTTTCGATGCATTAAAACATGTAAATTTAATATTTTTTTTAGCGCAATTTCCATACTGACAATTGCGATTATTTTCTGATCTAGCTATAAAATGAAAATCTATATTCGGTGGAAGCGGGGAGTGGGGGGACTGCCTCCAATCAAAGCACGTCCACTATCCTCCCTCCCCTGGAAATTTAATTTTAAGTCCACTTTTCTGGGGGGGGAGAGAAATATTTGAACGAAACATTGTGTAGGAATATCGTCTCCAAAGTATTTTTTCCCAGATAAATAAGATAATTTGTTTAAACTTGTGTTTTTTTTCTTTTCAGGGGTCATCCATAAATAATTACGTCATGCTTTTTTGACGATTTTTACCCCCCCCCCCCCCCCCGTCCGTCCGTCCGTCCATCACACATCGTCACAAAAGCCAGACCCCCCTACAATTACGTCACACCTCAGCCTACAACCACCCTCAAAATTGCAGTTGAAATTTTTTTTTTAAACATCGATATTTTTCTAAAGTCTTGTCTGAATTCTGTCAAAATAGAGTATTTAATCAATTCCTATTACAATTTATTAAAACCGTTTTCTAAAACGCGAAATCAGGTCTAAAATTCGTTTTCTAACATTGCTTTTTTATAATACAAAAGTGTGACGTCGCACCATCTGAACCCCCCCCCCCCCCCTCCCCCTCACCACACACCGTCACAAAATAGGCCTAACGGACCCCCTCCCCCTACGAGTGTGACGTCATTTATGGACGATCCCCTCACTAAAGGACCAGATTCTAAATGCGTATTATTTTTCTAAACTTTTTTTTTCGTTGCACAACTATATTCTAGATCTAGACATGTTTACTGGACTATTACTAGGGCCTGGTCTATATCTAAATCTTGATCTACTCTTATTTTAGTAGATCTAGAGTTATCCTAAATCCTAGGCTTTCTGAAAGGCAACCCTTTCTTAAGGCCCAATGCTGCTTAAAACGTTTTTTTACAGTTACTTCCCTTGTCGACCCATGTTATTTTTACATATGAATAGGATTGACTGTAGTGTAGAGAGAGTGGTGAATACCTAGGCTAGCTTACCATTTCAAGCATTTGTCGTTTGGACAAACCAGTCGTTCAATATAAACAATAGTATAGCAGTGACATGAAACCGCACGTGTTTATTAGTTGTGTTTCTTTCTGTTTTTACTTTTTCATTATTGTATCTGGAGCGGGGTATTCTGAACTAGACGATACCCGTAAGTAATTTTAAGTGTAGGGCTGTAGGGGGTGTAGGGCCTAAATTTTAGTGTCACTAGCTAGATTCTAGAGATCTAGATCTAGATCTAGATTCAGTAAATCTAGTTTCTAGATCAAGATCTTTTATTTTCTTAGGTGTGGCCGTTCACATAAAATTCATAAAGTATAAAGTACACTTTTTAAACCTTTGTGTGTGTGTATGGTATGATGGTGGATGTTACATGACATGGTGTTAGTCTCTGTAGGTCTACTCGCTGGATGTAGCCTAATAAAAAATAAATAATTAATATTAGCATTTTTAAGATTAGGCAATTAAGTTGCAAGGCTTCCCTGGGTTCATTCCTCTATTATTTCTGTTTTTTTACATCATTGGTCATTTACCAAAGAGGTAGACTCTACTATTTTTATTGAGGGCTGGCCAATAAATTGACGTAACACTCCATAATGTCGGTAGGGGGGTTTCAGAAAGTGTGACAACATGCTCTTGCAATAATGTTAGGGTAGAGTAGATATGAATATTGTGCTTTATTTTGACGATGTGATGGTTTTTTAAACAACAAGCGCAATCGTCTTAGTTTTAGAGAGTGTCTATTGGTACTTCACTACAAATAGCCTTCAGAGGGCTATTCGTACTTCGCTATTTTTAGCCAACTAATCAAATTTATTTTTAAATTCATTGTCCTGCAGTTTGTGTATGAGATACAAATTTTTTCATTTGTCGTAACTATTCCGGTGGGCGAAGTGGATGCGCATTGGCTCATTGATTTTTCGAGGCGTGGGTTCGATTCCCGCTGGCTCGGAGGTTTTTTTTTTCTATTTCTTTGCTTTTTTTTTTATTTTTCTTACGGATTAGGGTTAGGGTTAGGGTTTTGGGTTAGGGTTAGGGAGATCTAAAAAATAATTAGTTCTAGATCTATACAGCTTGTAAAAGATGAAAAAGGGAATTCAAGAATAAAAAAAAATGCCGCACGCTGATTGGTCAGAGTACGAATAGCCTTCATAGGGCTATTTGTAGTTAAGTACGAATAGCCGCAGCCTAATTTTACTTATTACATGCAGAATGCGAGTTTAATGTTTGTTTTAGAATGTAGCCTAAGCACTTCAATAATAAATTTAACATGTTGACGTCCGCATGAAACAGGACCCCCCACCACCCAGTCCACATGCATCCACAAAAGTCTATTTTTCAGATCTCCCCCCCCCCCCCCCCCCACAGTGTGGATGTCATAAATGTATGACCCCTTAACTAGATCTAAATAACTAGATTCTGTTAGATCTAGTACTCTACTAGTAGTAGTTACTTAACTTAAGGGTTAAGCATTGAATATTTAAATATTTAATGATTTACAATGTCCACAAGAATGGTAATGTCTAGAACCCCCCCTCCATCCCCTTGCCTACTTTTCCACTTTATTGTGTTCTATTTTTAAGTCTGATTTTGTAGACATCTTCATTGGCCTTGAAAAAAAATCAGCCTTTGGGTGGGGGGGATGAATTGAATAGTTTACTATATATAAATATAGTAGGTCTAACAATGTTAGAGCAATCAGCTATCAAGAATTCATAAAAATATTGGACCAAATTTGCTGCCATTCCCATTTTTTAAAAAAACTAGATCTTTGAACTATGAAACCAGCAGCCATGGTAGGCCTGCATAAGCTTAGTTGATTGTCCAGCTTTCAAGTGGTAGTTTAAAAAATGGTTTAGGGTTGGGTTATGGTAATAGGGATAGGCCATGACCATCTGTTTCCCATTGAAGTACTTGAATTGCATCGTTGGTAGCATGTATTTAAACAATCATATTGACATAGCATAACTAGTTGACCTATTGATTTGAAGAATTGATTTTTTTTAATTTGGTGGAATCTGAAAGTTTTGTTTGTTTTTTTTTTGTTGATTGGGAATGGGAAAATTCTATATAATGATAGATGAAATAGATGGGAAAATTCTATATAATGATAGATGAAAATGGATGAAACTTAAATCTATTAATATGGATAGGCAGGATAATTGATTAGAAAGACTATACTACAGGAAAGGGTGCAATGAAACAAATGTTTACTAATAGTAGTAATAGTAATAGATTTTATTGTTACAAAATAGTTTATTTAAATTTAGATCTAATTCTTTGATTTAATTTTAATTATTTGTTTTGTCAGTTAAAAAAAAAAGCAGAATATCTCTCTGGGCTAATATGCTCATTGATTATTCATCAATTACTGTCCCTCCTGCCCCCCCCCCCCCCTTCACTCAGCAGCACATCCTGCTTACATACACACATGCTAGCACACTCCATTGATCTGACAGTGGTGATTTGTCTTCAGGCTATGTGTCAGTCAGGTCACATGTGCTAATCTGTTTTTATCATAGTAGGAGGGGAGGGGCATGCATTGCTGATCTAGAACTATTTTTAGCACTCCAGCATTATAAAATATTTTTAACTCTATCTTTTTAAAAAGTGATAACCACTTTTTAAGGGAATGGACAGACATAGATGTTGATTAAAACAGTTAAAGTACAGTGCTAATTAGGTTTGAATTAATGAGAGGATTTGTTTGCTTGACACATTTTAAACATCTATGTCATTTTACCTGTTCTGTTTCTGGTGCAAAGATAAAAGCTCTTTGACAACCTCTGTCTATTTTTTTAAACTATAATCAATTGTATAGATGGTGTTTAAAATAAAGCTATTTAAATCTAAAGATTATGGAAAAATAAATTTCCTAAATAAAGTTAGGAAAAAGATGCTAAAACTTGTGAAAACTAATGTATAGTATTGTTTAAGTTGATAAATAAATGTTTGAAAATGTAGACCCTATAAGATCTACTAGTCTTTTCCTAAATGTTAAGGCCTAGTCTGTCTAGGCTTAGTTTAAAAAAAAAATATAGCTATACAATGTATTGTTTTCTATATGCCAAATTATGTTTTCATATTATTATTAAGTAGGCCTAGAATATATGAGCTACTCAGTATATTTGTTTTGATAAACCTCGTTAATTCATAGGGTGTTGTTTTTTTCACACTACAATTGTCATTAATCATCTATTGTTTTTTATACTCTACACACATTGTGTGTGCCAGGGTCACTAAATTACTAACATAAAACACTATACCAGGTTGGCATAATAAAATTCCCTCATGATATAGAAAAATTAAAGTTGGCAAGACTTATTTTTGCTATAAGGATTGTACTAATTTATTTATTTTTTGTCCTCACAATAGTAAGACTTCAGCTGATAAAAGCAGTCAACTGCATATTATTTTTTTAAAATGTATATAATTTAAAAAGAAAGTAGTGTATGCATTTTTTACCAACTGTAACTTTTACTAAAAAGACAATTTTAATTGGATTACATTTTCATCAATATTAATTCAACCAGTGCTGTCAAGCTTTAAATACAACAAGCAATTATGAGAGCTAGTATATTGAAAAATATAGCAACTGAATGCAGTTTGTAGATTAGCTTAAATAAATATGTACTTGGATAGAGACAGGTACCAATAGTTAATGATGTATGAAATGGAATTACATAACTGGCGTTCTGCCCAGATACTTAAATCTGTTACCACACCACTGGCTCTTGGTAAATCAGCAACCAGAGTTAATAAATCTACCACGTAATCTATGTTCACATATTTTATAAATTTTTAATACACATTTTGATTTGGAATCAGCTAAGGAATCAGATAAACTCTATTTTATCTGACTTGAGTACTACCATGTCTAAAAGTGATTTTTTTTTTTTTTAAATCCCTCAGCAGAATGTTTTATATTTGTAATCAAAATAACTTTTTTTTTTATCCTTAGACCATATGGTTCTAAATGCACTAAACATGATAACCATATTCTATTTTAATTTTCCATAGACCATGTAGTGATGAGCCCACCAACCACAATACCAATATTCTATTTTTTTTAATCCTAAGACCATATGATTCTAAATGCACCAGCTTTCATTACAATATTCTATTTTAATCATCCTTAGACCATGTAGTGCGGAGCCCACCAACCATAGTACCAATATTCTATTTTTTTAATCCTAAGACCATATGATTCTAAATGCACCAGCTTTCATTACAATATTCTATTTTTTCTGTTATCCTTAGACCATGTAGTGCTGAGCCCACCAACCAATATTCTATTATTTTTTTTATCCTAAGACCATATGATTCTAAATGCACCAGCTTTCATTACAATATTCTATTTTTTCTATTATCCTTAGACCATGTAGTTCTGAGCCCACCAACCACAGTACCAATATTCTATTTTTTTAATCCTAAGACGATATGATTCTAAATGCACCAGCCATAATAACAACTTTCTTTTTATTAGCCTTAGACCATGTAGTGCTTAGCCCACCAACCATAGTACCAATATTCTATTTTTTTAATCCAAAGACCATATAATTCTAAATGCACCAGCTTTCATTACAATATTCTATTTTAATCATCCTTAGACTATGTAGTGCTGAGCCCACCAACCAATGTCACAGCACTCTTCATCAACTCTACCGCTATCACTGTGGCCTGGGACTCACCCCTGGTGTACAAACCCCACGAAGTGAACATCACTGAGGTCAACGACACAGACACATCAGATAACTCAACAGATGTCGGTAACTCTACCCAGTCAGCCAACACCACAGATTCCAACATCCCATGGGTTGCAGGTAACTAGGGAATATGCAAGCATACATTCACCTAAGTATACATGAAAGTTGGGACGCGTGGCTTGACGGTAGAGAGCTAGATGGTTACCTTAAAGTCTTGAGTTCAATTCCAGGTTCAAGTCAGTAGAAAGCCCCAGAGTCCGTCCAGTTCTGGTGAGAACTTAACTCATGTTTGGGAAAGCAAAGGCGGTTGGGCATAGTGCTGACCACACTATCCCTTTATATGCTGAGGTCTCTGAAACAGATGAACTCTACTTCATCTGCCCCATGTGTCTTAGGGACGAACGGAAAAAGGCGATATATGAGAGGCTTACAGGAAGAAGCAGTTTGATTTCCCCGTGTGATTGTTTGCTAGCAATGCTACTTCTTTGAAACTGTCCTGCATATTCAATTTCTTCTATGTTCCAGATTTTTCTGCTGAATGGATTGTGGCCAGATATTGAATTTACTAAAAATTGACATCTACTCTGCTTTCTGTATTTTTAAATTATAATTTGCGGAGGCCACTCCCAAAACCTGCTACATCACTTCTGATTGATTTTTAGGGAGTTTTTTCTTGTTGATAATTAGTTAGGTTTTTGGATAATTTAGTATTTAAAAGAAATTTTTTGATGTATACCTTTTACAACAAAAATCAGTATACTCCCTTAATTGCCACTTAATTTTGAAGGGTAACTTATTTTTTTCCAAAAGTGGACAGCAGGTTTTGCAAATGGCCTACTCATATATTGCTAGTTTGTTGTTTGTTTTGTCTAAACAGGAATCTAATAGATATGGCTACACCTTATGCGGGTACCACTAAAAAAATGGCTGCAGTTCATACCTGTCCCTAGCCAAATTAGTTGCTTAGCAACAAATTAACTTTTACTAGCATCATATATATTAGTGGACATTCTGTTTTCACTTTGAACTACCAGGTCATAAAATGTTGAGAAATGTGTATTTCTTAATGTAATTTTTTTAGTAAAACTATAAACTTATTTAGTTGAGAAGATCAGATATCAACGCCTGTGGTATATTTCTCCCGCTATTTTCAGTTGAAAGGCCAACCACAACAGCCGCGCCCACAACAACAGCCTCCCCCAACACAGTGGTCTGCCACAAGTACAGCCATTACCAGGACTTTGGCATGGAGATCATTAAGAGGCTGGGGTTGAGCATAATCATGACCTTACGGGATCTCAGAATGAAAGAGGAAGAGCCTGTTGGGAAAATGAATATTGTCAAGTTTGAGGAAGGCTGCATTCAGATGTTCACTGTCAATTGGAAGGAAGTTGGTAACAACTCAGGTAATCTGGAGATAGTGTTAAGATCAAATAACATTTTTAATATAGACATTTAGATTAGATAACATTTTTAATATAGACATCTAGATCAGAAAACATTTTTAATACAGACATTTTGATCAGGTAACATTTTTAATATAGACATTAAGTTCAGATAACATTTTTAATATAGACATTTAGTTCAGATAACATTTTTAATACAGACATCTATGATCAGATAACATTTTTAATATAGACATCTATGATCAGATAACATTTTTAATATAGACATTTAGTTCAGATAACATTTTTAATATAGACATCTATGATCAGATAACATTTTTAATATAGACATCTAGATCAGATAACATTTTTAATATAGACATCTAGATCAGATAACATTTTTAATATAGACATTTAGATCAGATAACATTTTTAATATAGACATCTATGATCAGATAACATTTTTAATATAGACATCTAGATCAGATAACATTTTTAATATAGACATCTAGATCAGATAACATTTTTAATATAGACATTTAGATCAGATAACATTTTTAATATAGACATCTATGATCAGATAACATTTTTAATATAGACATCTAGATCAGATAACATTTTTAATATAGACTTCTATGATCAGATAACATTTTTAATATAGACTTCTATGATCAGATAACATTTTTAATATAGACATCTATATCAGATAACATTTTTAATATAGACATTTAGATCAGATAACATTTTTAATATAGACATTATGTTCAGATATCATTTTTAATATAGCTATCTAAGATTATGTAACATTTTAAATATAGAAATATGAAATTAATAAATGTTTTAATTATATTAATTTTTTATACAGCCTTTGTTTTAAAAATTAGTTTAAGCTCATATACAAAAAAAGCATTTTAGATGAGTCATAAAAGCTATAACATTTTAGGTATCAACAAAATGTGGAATATCAACAGTAATAAAAAGAAAATACTTTTTAAAAAGTAATAAAGGCTTTTTTTCAGAATGGCAAAAGGAAAATGTCTCCTCTAGAGAAAATACGTTAACTATCAGCAACCTGAAACCAGACACAAATTACACCATCACAGTAACAGCCATATTTAGGAGCAAACCCTATGAGTCTCAACCACCCTTCTTATTTTCCACCATGCCAGATAATAATACTAAAGGTAAACCACTCTGTTTGACTTACTTCTATTTATAGGTTTTTTTAAAATATTTCTTTTGTTTCATATTTATATAAGAAAACTCAAGTATTGGTATAAACTATGTAGGTTGCTAGATGTTATGTTTAGTTGGTTTTCTATTCTGTTCTATGTTGGAGAGCTCCACAGTTGCTGTACTTTTTGCGTTATTATGTTGTTACAAATTTTTAATACAGCTTAAATATCTTATTTTTGCATGGTTTTTATTGACTTTAGCCCTGATTTAGTTCAGTGTCAATAAAGATTAATAGTAAGAAAGTTTATGTTTTACTTAAAACAAAAATTGTGAGGGGTGGTTGGCTACTAAGGATGTTACATAGGAGTACTTGGAGGTTTTCTATGTATATGTTTTGTAATGAGTTGAGGTGGATCAAAAATGTCATACATATATATTATTTGTGCACAATACATACCTAATTCAAGTAGATAAATGTTTTTGAAAATCCTATTCTTCCATTGAAGGAAAAAAATTAAAAACCTTTAAGTGTGTGAATTTGTCTATGCGTCTGAGGTCGTTGTGGTTGGGCCGGGTAAGCTCAAAGCTTGCTGAACCGCAAAAGTCCATGAGTTTGAACCCCTAGGCAGATGGGGCTCTATGGCTGGGGACAGCCACTTTTCTAGGAGAGACAACACCAAAGTTAAACAACTGCTGCCTTGTAGTTTGTTCTTGGTTGGACAAACACATGGAAGCACATCTAATAAGAAAAGCAGGTTGAAATTAGAGTCAATGGCCTCAATGGCGCATAACAAGTCAACATGTAATACTTGATTGTGTTAAAAGTAATCTCTTCCAACACTGATATTAAGAACGAAGAAAAAGTATATCTATGTATCTTTTTTCTGGCATAGAAAACACCTTCTTTCTTGTGGCTAGTTACATCTTTGAGGATAGTAAAAAGAAGTATTACACAGCATAGCTATAATCATGCACCTCATTTCTTTAGGCTTAGATCCACATGTTTGGTTTGCTGCTTTAGTTAATAAATTCATTGATATTGTTTATCATTGATAAATTCATTGTTTATCTGTCCCAGAATGCCATTGTGTCATTGATATTGTTTATCTGTCCCAGAATGCCATTGTGTCATTGATATTGTTTATCTGTCCCAGAATGCCATTGTTTCATTGATATTGTTTATCTGTCCCAGAATGCCATTGTGACCAGATGGGCACCAGGTACGGCACCTCCTGTAATTTGACCAACGTCAACAGTTTTTGTGAATGCCAGACAGGATACGCAGGCCGCTTCTGTGATACGTGTGCGCCTGGTTTCTACAGGACCAGACCCCACTTCCCCTGCCATAAATGTCCTTGTGATGTATTTTCCACTGGCAATGATCAGACCTGTGATTTTGGTAGGTTTTCGTTTGCTTTAAAAAATGTATACTCTCTTCCTCTAGTTTTTTTAACATTGATATCTTCCTGGAGCAGTGAAGTTGTTCAAGCAGACAGCAACATAGTGTGGCAAATGTTGGCAGCTGCTCACACAATTTTTTTTCCACCAGGCTGTCACATTTTGTTTCATTGTCTTGGTACTGTGCCTGTTCCTTTCTGGTTAACTAAAATACACTCTACTACTAGACCATCTAATTGGTTTCCTGCTAGGCTGTCGTAAAATAAATTTATTTCTAAGAATATCTTAACAATCAGAATATAATATAGCTAGTCTCATAACGCGAGTTGAATTACCTCCCCTGACCCGCTTTTTTATGGCCACTTTCTAGTTCGTTTTTTTCGATCGCGTCTCGGCACTGTTGCTAAAAATAGCATTCGCGCAATACCATACAGGTAAATCTGTTTGGCGTCTGCTACACTTGATAGATCGTTAAATGGCCGACAAGCTGATATAAAAATTATTGCGAACGGATGCGATTTTCGTGGAAATTGAGCTAGATTTAGCAAAAGACGGCTATATTTGTGTAAAATATTATTATTTATACTTCTACTTACACAGATATTTTGATAACTGCAGTTCAGCCGTCCATTTTTCTTTTAAAATGTATCTTTAGAATTTCTGTACCTTTTGGCAATCGGTCAGGAGCATTTGCGCACTAAACCCACCCCCCTACGGCAGATCCGATTTTTTTCCCAGTGAACTCGTACTGACCTCCCACATAGCTAAGATAGTACATTGATACTGATGGGAAAGCCTCTAAATCTGTATTCCTACTAGAGATCTAGAAATAAATCTAGATCGTGGAGTTTTTATAATGACTTTTAAATTGAATGTCTCCAGTTTAAGATATTTTTTTTTTCAAAACAAAGTTACTTTTAGTACTATATTTAAGTATTTCAAACCCTTTTGGTAGTTTTTTCTTAAACTTAGACCTAGATCTAGTGATAAGATATCTATATTTTGTACTTATAACTTGCAGGCCTATTAAAATAATAATAAAACACTTTGCTTGATAACTTCATTAGGTCATTTCATAAACACAAATGTTATAAACATATAAAACCACAAAACCATAGGTAATATCTGAATTCTGTAGCCAACCTTACATTTAGGCTAATACTGAATTAAAAAGAAATTACATTAAGGTTTGAAATTAATACAACTTGTAATTAAGAAAGAAAGCTTCAATTCTAAATACTACAAGATATAATAACAAACAATGAAACAAATTCAAAGCTTTTTTTCAACCCATTTAGTCGAAAAGATTTTATTTTTTCCGATATTGACCAAAATAAGTTTTTAAAGCTTAGGCCTACTGTTTTTACAAACATAACTCAATTTTATTAGGCCCCTGTAAACATTAATTAAGATTCCTCTGTAGACAAAGCAATCTATTTGGCAGATGAAGTAGAGTTCATGTTTCTTGACCTCGGCATATGAAGTGATTGTCCGTGTGGTCAGCGATATTCACAGCTGCCTTTACTTTTTACCTTTAATTTCCCCAATGTATATCAGGTACCCATCAGAAATGGGTGGACTCTAATTGAATTTTATTAAACAAACATTTTGATGTAGGCCTAGATCTATAATCTATAACATTCCAAACAACATCTGTTCTGTAGAATTTACCTTTCTGCTTCCAAATGCGGTATTTTCCAATTGAAAATTCATCACAAAACATACAATAAATTATATAAATGGCATTTTATAAATTTATATAAACTATTTACTTTCACCTTGGTGTAAAAAAATGTAGGTATAAGCAAACTGATTTCAATAGTAAGAAAGAATCATGTCTTTTCTTGCTTACTAGCTTTAAAACAAGTGAATTTGACTTTTTACCTGCGTTTTTGGTCGCGTTTCTATATATTTTATTTGCGACACTAAAAAAATTATATTTAATCAACCGATTATGCTAAATTAATAAAATTGGTACTGTTGGATTGCATTTTTAAAGCTCTACAATTATATGCTATTCTTTTTATAATTTGAAGAAAATTGAATTTATATGAGACTAACTAATATATGAAACACACAAGAAACTTAAGGACAACCAAAATGAAAATTTATCTTTAGTTTGATCTGCTGATGAAATAACTGGATTTATCAAAATATAATTAATGGAGTGATCAATAAAAGCATTTAGTTAAAACATGATATTGGTGATATGGTTGAGTAGTAGGGTACTCAACTACAAACCTGTTAGTCTCGGGTTTGGATCCCATCGGGCATCATTGAGTTAACCCAGCTGACTGACTGAATCAGGAGGGATAGTTGTGTTTACTACTGACTACAATATCACTTCATGTGGAACATGAATCAGGAGCGATAGTTGTGTTTACTACTGACTACAATATGACTTCATGTGGAACAGATCAACTCTGCTTTGTCTGTAAAAAGTTCTTTTTAGAACTTGACAGTGCATTGGTCAAGGAGCACCCCTGTTTTATTTATCTCAGCATATGAAGGGATGGTGTGGGGCAGCACTATGCCCAGCTGCCTTTATTTTAGGCACCCATCAGAGCTGGTTGGATGTTCTTCTGACTTGAACCTGGATTCAAACTCAAGACTTTCGGGTTAGCAGTCTAGCACTCTACTGTAAGGCCACACCGTTCCCTAGCTTTGTCTGTCCCCATGGACATTCTGACCTGAAGTAGACTTCATTTTACTGCAGAATATATAGTCAGGTTGTGAAGGACAGGGAGTGAAGTTGATGTGTAAGTAGATTCAAATATTGGGACAGTGTGGTCATATATAACTGCTGAGTGCACTATTGCTGACAGCTGAGTATGGTGTTTGGTATCCAGGCTTAAGTCAGTTGATGCTATAGTGGATATTTAAGATGGGGAAAGTAAAGATGGATGAGCACAAAGTGAATTACACAATCCTTTCATATATGGATGTGATTGAAAAATTAATCAGTTTATCTGACCTCAACGGAAGAAGTGAATTACACAATCCTTTCATATAACGATGTGATTGAAAAATTCATCAGTTTATCTGACCTCAATGTAAGAAGAGGTCAGTGCTATGTTCAGCCATCTTTATTTTCCAAGTTTTAATTAAAATCAGTGTTGAGTGGACTTCAGACTAATAGGCAAGCTCAATACTTTCAAGTTAGCATCTGCGAGCTCTGTTACACCACCCTTTTTATTCTTTTCATGTTGATTTAATTTTTTTTCCTCTCTGTTACAGAGGAAGGGTTCCTGAAGTGCAACAAATGTGAGGTGGGCTACACCGGGAACTTGTGCCACATTTGTGATAATGGTTACTATAGATATGGCAGACGGTGTGCACCATGTCGGTGTAATGGCAATGCTGCTAAAAACTCAAAGGAGATGTGTCATCCAGTAACAGGTGAGTGCAATCTTTTTAAACTGTTTAGATGGCCCACATGTGGCTAGTAGATGGCCCACACGTGGCCAGTAGATGGCCCACACGTGGCCAGTAGATGGCCCACACGTGGCCAGTAGATGGCCCACACTTGGCCAGTAGATGGCCCACACATGGCCAGTAGATGGCCTACACTTGGCTAGTAGATGGCCCACACGTGACCAGTAGATGGCCCACACGTGGCCAGTAGATGGCCCACACATGGCCAGTAGATGGCCCACACTTGGCCAGTAGATGGCCCACACGTGGCCAGTAGATGGCCCACACGTGGCCAGTAGATGGCCCACACTTGGCCAGTAGATGGCCCACACGTGGCCAGTAGATTGCCTACACTTGGCTAGTAGATGGCCCACATGTGGCCAGTAGATGGCCCACACGTGGCCAGTAGATGGCCCACACTTGGCCAGTAGATAGCCCACACTTGGCCAGTAGATGGCCCGCACGTGGCCAGTAGATGGCCCGCACGTGGCCAGTAGATGGCCCGCACGTGGCCAGTAGATGGCCCACACTTGGCCAGTAGATGGCCCACACTTGGCCAGTAAACGGCCCACACGTGGCCAGTAGATGGCCCACACTTGGCCAGTAAACGGCCCACACATGGCCAGTAGATGGCCCACACGTGGCCAGTAGATGGCCCTACAGCACAATTAGCAGTTATAAATTAAATTTTTGTCTTATATATTTAATTCTCTTGAAGTTTTTACAGTTTATTAATGTAAGGTGTTACAATTTACTAATGTTACAGTGTTACCATTTAGTACTGTTTAGGTGTTACAATTTATTGCTGTTAAGGTGTTACAATGTACTAATGTATGCACCAATTTGTTTTTGCAGGCATGTGTTTTGGGTGCATGTACAACACCTCTGGCTTTAACTGTGAGCGCTGTCTGGATGGCTACGTGGGGGATGCCATTGCCAAAAAGAACTGCACCAAGACATCTGACCTCAAGCTCGTGGTCAAAGGCAGCTCCTTCTCTGCCCAGACAGTTGGGATCATTGTGGGCATTATCTGCATCCTTGTCCTGGCTACTCTGGGCTTCTTTTTGTTCAAGCGCTACCAGGCTAACGAGAGGAGGCGAGCTTTCTGGACCGTGGAGATGAAACGGGACCAGGACGATGTGGACTTTAACTCTGTCCACAACGACGACGCCCACCTGGGTGACGAGCCTGACCTCAGTTTCTACGGCAACGCAAGCAACAGGCCTAGCACTGGCAAGTATGCTCGCTTGCAGGAAGATGTGTAAGATAAAATGGCTTACAGGAAGATATGTAAGCTTTTTAATAAAAAGGCTAACAAGAAAATAAGTAAGATGTAATGAAATAGCCACCTGCATACGAGGTTATACATAATCAGATTGTTTAAACTTTGAAAATACAAAAAAAAAACAAATTTTCATTCATTCATTTTTTCATAGTTCATTTGAATAATTCATCTTTTGCATTAACCAGAAAGTTGAATCTCATTCAAAACTTTTAAGTTTTTTTATCCAAAACAAATCTAAGCTTATATCTAAATTCTACCTAGAGAAAAACACAAAATACATTTCTATTTGGCTGTAATCATTTAGCTTACAAATCACAGATAATAATGTTTGTCAAAATTGTAATAATGAATCTCTAGTTCATATAGTTGTGTTTTTTTAATCAAGGGAGATCTCATTCCATTTTCTGTATGTTTCTGTATATATTTTTACCTATAGATTATTTTAATCCTTTTTTTTTTGTATTGAACATTCACTTGGTTGTTATGTCTCATACAAATTTCCTATTTTTGAGAAAAAAATATGAAATGCTTTAAATGTTGTTAATTTTAAGTGAAAATAAGTAAGTGTAGTAGGTCAAGCAGATTTAAATGATTCTGTATTGTCTAAATGGTGTTGTTTATAACATAATTTTTTAATATAAACTTCATACATTAAATTGTAACTTTACTCTTTTTTTTTTAAATGGCACCAATAATTTAAATACATGATTTAAACATATATTCAGTTTATGAAAAAGATGTTGTTTTTTTTTACCTGTAGTTTAGTATCATCCTTTTTAGCTGCATGAGTAAAGCTGGCCATAGTTTCACTTTCATACTTTATTTCTGATTCAACTCAATTAGTGCATCATTTTTTTTTTCGTAAAAAAAAAATGTTCTTTAAGTGTTTCATGTATACAAATTCCAAGACTTCCTGCATTTAATCAGTTTTAAAAGAGTTAAAAAGGGGACAAAAACCTACCTAAAAAAAAATATTTTTATGGTTCAGGATCCCACCTTTCAACTTTGACCAGAGAAAAAATCATTTTTTACAGAAAAATAAAACATGGTCAGGTGGTTTCACTTTTAAAAACTTTTTTTGCTGTCATTTTATTTCTTCATTCACATACATTTTTCTGGACTTTTTAAAATACTATGTCGAAATCAAAACATAACTTTCATGTATATTTTTTAATGTTTACATTTTTTATAGGTGTACAGCCATTTCAATACAAGATATTTTTTATGTCAGAAGTCATTGAGAAATTTTTTAACAGATTAATGGATTTGTATCTTATAAAGTCCTAGCTACAGGCTACATATTCACAACCTACCCCAGCTATGTTTGGCTGCAGAAAATTTCATGTGTATACAAAGGAATGGTATCGGAAAAGATGTATAGTATTTTTTTTATTCAAAGCCTTTCAAAACATAATTTCATAAAGTGCCTTTTTTGTTCACGATGAATTTAACATATTTTGTTTCATAGTTTATCTGCAAATTTAAGCAATAACTATATTGTAAAAAATGTCTACTTTTCAGTTGATTTTTTTTTTAATTTGTTGTTATACCAAAATATGGGAAATAACTCTAGCCAGTCAAAGATATTGTATTCATCTCTTTGTTTTAATGCATTTTGTTCTTAATGTTTGAAATTTTAAAAATTTTAATTTTACGGGGATGTAGTTTGCAACCAGAATTGCCTTTGTGAAACAGGATTCTATAAAAAAAAAAACTTGTTTTCATTTTAGTGCCTACATTGGTGTTTTCTTTTGTGTTCATTTTTTTTTAAAAATAACATGACTACATTTTATCAAAATTGATGATAATGGATTTCATGAGGTCCAATTATGTTAATTTTTAAATGAAATTTAAGAATGTTGGAATGTATACCTCAGTGGTTTTTTTTTGTTTCATGTTTTTGATCAAGTGTTTTTTTTAATATATATCTAAACAGGCAATTACTGTTTGAGATTGATTGACATTGTTATGATGGTTAGTTGTTGCTGTGTAAATTGTTTTAGACTCGTTTAATTCTTGACATGTTTACAAGAATAATTTCCTCTTTAGATTTCTCACTCTATTGTCATTTAGTTTCTGTATATTGTTAATATTCATCTCTTAATAGTAACGTGCTAGTTTAAGATCCAATGCTTTTTTTTAATCAGTCCTTCTGTCTAGTGGTCAGTGTTGACATCTCTGTCATTTAGCCTATTGGTCAGTGTTGGTGGTTCTGTCCCTCTTTTATTCATAGGCTGCTGAATTTGTCGGTATAGGGGTCTGCTGTTTTGGGATGTGGGGGTCTAAAGTGGGTTTAGGGGTCTACTGTTTGGGGATCTGGGGTCTAAATTAGGTTTAGTGGTCTGCTGTTTTGTGATCTGGGTCTAAATTGGGATTAGGGGTCTGTTGTTTTGGGCTCAGCAGTCTGTTGTTTACTTTGGGGGTTTGGGGTCTGTTGTTTTGGATCTATGGAACTGCTGTTCTGGGTACCAGGTGTCTGCTGTTGTAGGCCCAGGGGTATGCTGCTGTAGGTCCATGTGTCTGCTATTGTGGGTCCAGGGTCTGCTGCTGTTCCTCTAAAACAGGGGTCTCCAAATTTTTCAGTCCGAGGGCCGCATTAACTATCAAATTTCAGATCGGGGGCCAGTTTCTTCCAGGCACGTATTTGAATTTTCTGGGCAAAGTTCCTCAGCCATCACCAACCAACGTTTTTTCCGTGCACAAAAAGATCTCCGCGGGCCGTATGAGAGGAAATTGCGAGCCGCATCTGGCCCGCGGGCCGTAGTTTGGAGACCCCTGCTCTAAAACCACAGGTCTGCACCATTCAGCAATGCTTTAGTTAGAGCCAGCAGAATCCACCCCATCAATTTCTGCCCACCATTTCCTTTTATCAGCCATCTTGTTTGCCTTTGTCATTGTCTCTCATTTATTCACATATCACATTTTGTTTTTTCCTTTAACTAAACACCTAAAAAGAAAAAACCAAATCAATTTTTACAACTTTATACAAATGCTGTTCAACAGCCCTAAGTAAAACTTTTTGGGGCGTTCACTGTCTGCTATGCTACTCTAGTGGGTTTTTTTTTTTATTTATTTAAAATGAACTCAAAATTGTTCTTTATTTTTAAATTTTACTTAAAACTGAACTCATAATTCTACTCTAAAATAAACTCAAAATTTTTAAAGTTCAAGATAAAGTATTTGGTACGTCATACACCATTGAAAAATTAATGTCCATGATTAGGTATTTTAAGTCAAGCAGCAAATGTATGGTTTGTTGTTTATTTTTTTTTTCTTATTTTATGTAAATGAAATATTTTAATGCTCTGTAACATTTGATAAATCATTCAAAGTTGTTTATTTCATGCTGCTTACCTTTTCATTGTATTTTATTGAATGTGTTTACAAACTTGAACATTCCTTGTTTTTTTTTAATGTGAATTGTAAATGTAATTGATGAGATAAGGTGGACTGGATTAGTCTCTTGTTTTTGTATTCTAAACAATAATATGTGGAGGTGTAAAACCCTATGATTCATTTATTAATTACAACATGCAATTTTTACCATTTTTACCCACCTTTTTGTAACAAAGCTAATAGCGCCCTGTCCCTCCACCCACCCCAAATGATATTATTAAATTACCACTTAAATAGTCATAATTCTAACAAAACTAGCTTGTTTTAATTAGTTATTTTCTCTAACAAATATAAATTCAATGCCACATCAGATGTTTTTATCTTTTCCTGCCCTCCAAACCCCCATTGCCCTTAGGTGTGGTCTCATCATTTATTATTGATCCCTTAGTGTAGCAATCAGTATGAATAGAATTATACTAAGCCTCTGTACTCATAGAAATAACTTTAGCCTCTAAAACTAACAATATTAGTAGCTATAGAATTAATCTTAGCCCTTTTAGGTATTAAATTAACGTTAGCTTTAGTATGTATAGAACTAACCTTAACCATAGCTATAGAATCAACATTGACCTTTTTAGGCATTGATTTTTACTTTTTTTTTCAATAGGTGTAGTCTTAACATAGAAACGTTTTCCAGACTGTACCTAAACACTCAAATCTAGAAACATATTATAGCTTAGAATAATCTTTAACCCACTGTACCTAAACACTCAAATCTAGAAACATATTATAGCTTAGAAATAATCTTTAACCCACTGTACCTAAACACTCAAATCTAGAAACATATTATAGCTTAGAAATAATCTTTAACCCACTGTACCTAACCACTCAAATCCAGAAACATATAGCTTAGAAATAATCTTTAACCCACTGTACCTAACCTCTCAAATCCAGAAACCTATCAGAGCTGAGTACTCATGGGTTCTCTGAAGCCATGAACCACAAGTAAAATAAAATCTGAACATTCACTTCTATAATTTAGTATTAAAAACATGGTCATTAAAACAAAAATTGTGAGATACAGACCTGCAAGCAATAGCATTCAAGTAATTGACACAAAGTACATGAACAACATTGTGTGAATAGTTAAGTATTTGAACTGTGTTAGGCCAATTTGGTCAAATATATGTACTTTTATTGAAGTAGCTGTTTACTGTCTTGAGTGCCTCATTGGTGCATTATTTCTCATCAAATTGAGTTTCTGTATTGCCGTGTATAAAACTTGGCTACAAGAGGAAACAGTGAATTGATGTAGCAGTTTGTTAGTGCTATGGGTTCCTGTATTGCCATGTATAACTTGGCTACAAGAGGAAGCACTGAATTGATGTAGCTGTTGGTTAGTGCTATGGGTTACTGTGTTGCTTGAAACACTAACTGGTTGTGATGGTGTACAATACACATTTGGTGGAACGTCTTTCTTCTAAAGCCAAGTTTGATTTAAATCAGGACAAACATCTCAACTATTTGCTAAATGTTTACAAATCTCATTTAACTGTGCCTATATTTTTATTTCATTTTCTCAGACTATTTTCTTAACACTCCTATTTTATTTGTTAAATCCAATAAAGTATTTTTTGTCATCTTTTCCCATTTTGTTTGCATGTTAACAATTTGAAATCAATGATTTATGTGTGAGTGCATATTAAGCATGTGTAGTCTGAACAACATGGTCTAGTGTAAACCATACTCTGGCTAATGCTTAAGTCAAGAGTTCAGATTTTAGGCTCAACGCCGTAGGTGGTCCCCTGACCAAACTGACCCTCAAATCCAAACCAAGTGGTGCCATGCACTGGGGGAAGAAGCAGAAGCCTGGTGTTAACTGACATGTCTGGTGGCTGGTAACAAGGGTGAGAGAAGTGTTCTATTCTTAGCCCTGTACCAGTCTTCAATAGAGAGCATCTATAGTGAAGCTTAAACGTAGTTTATAACAAGGGAGGAGGGGGTGGAGGTAGCTTTTCTTCTTGCTAACAATACAAATCAACAGTTGAATTTGAACTCATACCCTTGTTCACACCTGTCTTGCCCCTCCCCCCCCCCCTTTAAAAATTAAAAAAAAAGAAATTTCCCTGCCTACATTAGATTTCATCAATCCATTAGAACTGTGTGGACTCAGGCCATCCTTGAGCACACTCACAGAAACACAGCTACAAAACTTGGCATACAATACATAAGAAAGTACCATGTGTATGAAAATATTTTAATCAATATATGACTAGTTCAAATGATATACAATTTAAAATCAGGTAAAGAAATTGTAGATGGTAAAAAAAAATCATATGCAGGAATAAAAACATTTTAAATCCACACCATCAAAGAAATTAAAGGTAAAATTATCAAATCAAGTTACGAATATTTGAGTAGCAGTAATATAAAAAGTTGCATCAAGAAAAATTTTAAAGAATAATATCAATAATAAAACATTTCTCGCAATAGGGTAAAAATCTTCTTTTCTATAAACAGTTACAGAAAAATAATTTCATTTGTTCTTTTAATATAAATTCGTCGGACAATAACATTTACAATTGTTCCAATAAAATTAGATAAATAAATAGCTCTATATCAGATCTTAACAAATGTATTAAAATACATATTTGCACCTACAAATGAACAAACAAAAAAAGATTTTAAATAGCTGTTTATCAAATCTAACTTAAGATAAAATAAATTTTTGTTTCATTACTATTCTGTGCATGATAAAAACTTAAAATCTGTTATATTTTAATAAAATCTGATTGATTTCTACTTCAAATGCTTTCTCTGGTTAATTGCATTTTCTGGTAACATAAAATTTATAACTAACGATAAATATCCCATACAACAGTTTTGTTAAAATTTACTGTAAAACTAAAATTAAATGTTAATACTTTTGTGTTATGCTGCATATATAAATGTTCATTACGTTGTTGTTAACTAATAAAAAAAAAATACTTGTAACTAAAAACATTACTAATAAAGAACATTTTTCTTTTGTATTTATGAATTTACATACTAGTTTTACTATAAAGACATTTCAATTATTTCACCAGTTAGTGCAACAATTGAATTATTTTACTCCTGACATGAAAAAAAAAAAAATATCAAACCAAAAAGTTTGCAAATTAGTAAAGGTACAGAGTGGGGGGGGGGGGGGGTATTTAAATGCAAATATAGTTTTTATTTTGTATGCAGTGAGCAGTGAGATGAAATGATCTAGTATAAATTATTCTAGCATTCTTCAGAAAAATAAACATTATTTACAAAAAAATATTTTAAAAGCAATTATCTTTTTAGTGTGCACTAGTTCAACAATCTTGCAAAATATTCTAAACAAGAAATAAAATTAACATAAATATATATATATAACAGTATAATTTTTCAGCTACTAGAGATTAAAACAAACATGTTACTAGCCAAAGTTTAAAATAACTTTGTTGCTTCCCTTACAAATAGGTTGTTGGTTACTACCTCTAGTACATAAAACCAAATTCTCATCATCTGAGAGTTACAACCCCTTGTTGAAATAAAACTTATCTGAGGGCTTAAGGTGTGGCGAGAGTTCCAGAACTTTCTTGTACTCAGTTTGTGGCAGCTGAGCCACTGTGATAGAGCTGTAATTAAAACAAAGCCGGGATAAGGACCTACAAACACAAAACCGTTTTTTTTTAAATATTATTTCTAACATCAGTATTAAAAGAGTTTTATCTTGCACAAATGAAGTTATTTGTTATTAAAAACTCTACATATCACTGGATATTAACATAAAACCCAGCTACAAAAAAGCTATGCAAAACGAGTTAAAAATCTAATATAAAACACATTTTGTCAAAGCAATAGAGAGCTAGGCTTAGGGACATCCTATAGACTTAAGCCTGGGAACTGGACAGTTATTGGTGGATCAGTTTTTGTTCTAATATGAGATGACCCTGCCACCCCCCCCCCCCCAATTTTTTAACTTACAGAACAGACTTTTGGATATAGGCCTACTCTCCCTATATTAACACCATCAAGCCTAAGATATCCCCCCCCCCTACATGTTAAAAATAAAAAGAATTTTCATGGGTTAAAAAGTCATCATAAACAGAAAAATTCTAAATTGATTTTAAATATTAAACTAACATACCAGCGCTGGGGGAACAAAGCACAACCAAAAGGAACTGTAAATAACAACCTGAAACAAATATCAGATGTCATAACAAGCTAACATTAGGGAAATGTTAAAGATGTGAAATTAACATTAGCTGTGTAATAATGAGTAAAGAGAAATTAGAATATCATTGGATACATAGATCCAGTATACAAGACTAGAAATATAGTAAAGCACATGTGCTAGATTAGAAATATAGTATAGCACATGTGCTTGATTACAAATATAGTACAGCACCTGTGCTAAGTACAGTTTTAAAAGGTTTCAAGTTGCTTACAGAGCGCCAGAGAATAAAACTTGGCACGTGCCACCTAGCCAGCCATGGCGGCGAAACATTTTGGTCTTTTCTAGGCTCTCCATAAAATACGGCAGCACAGCTGAAAATATGAGACACAAAAAATTGTTTTAAATACTTCACGATTTACTTTATTTTTGTTAATTGTGGGACAGTGTGGCCTAGTGGAAGAGTGCTAGACTGCTGACTTGAAAAGGATTGAGTTTGAATCAGGGTTCAAGTCAGTGGAACGTCCCCGAGTCCACCCAGCTCTGATGGGTCCCTTACTCACATTAGGGAAAGTAAAGATGGCTGGGCAAGTGCTGACAACATTATCCCTTCATATGTCGAGGTCAAGATACATATGAACACTACTTTCATCTACCCAATTGATTGCTAGGCCTAAATAGGAATCTTCACTTAATTAAAATTAAAATATTAAATAAAACATTTTTTTTAATTCATATAAGTATGAATGGGAAAATTTGTAATAAACAGTAACAAATTGTCAAGCAAATTTTTTTTTACATTCAAAACTTAGTAAATTGTAAATACAATTAAATTTTAAAATAATGTTTGATAATTGAATGAATCAGTCAAGTTCAGTGCATTAAATTTTACTTTTTAATTTTAAAGAATTAAAACCTATTCATAACAGGTTAGCCAAGTAGTTTTAACATAATTTAAAATCCACAAACAATTCAAACTTACTCATGCTAGGAGCAGCCATAACAATACGTGAAGTCACCACCTGGGTAATTCCTTTTACAGCTGCATACTGAAGATTAAACAGGGGAGGTTACTTTGTACACAGAGATTCAAAAATCTATACAACAATTCATTAACTGTAAAAACATCTAGTGGTATGATTTTTACAGTAAATATTATACAAATAAAATTTCTAAAAATCATTTTACAGATAAAACAAATAAAAATAATCTCCTTTAATCTGATTTTATTATTTTGATTGGAAGAAAAATAAAAGAGAACTACAGTAAAAAAATTCTTTAGATAGATAATTAACTGAGTTAAACTTATAGCTAGAAGCTTACTTTGGATTTGGCAACAGGATTCCCATTATCATCAGTAACCAACACACCCTCTGTGATTTCACTTGAATAAATTAATACACTTTTGATTAGCTTCTTTATACCACATCTATAATTGTTTTCTGTTTAATTTATTTTATTGATACTTCTAAGAATGCTAGTTAATGATATGTTTTGCTAAGTATTGCTACCCTAGCCCTAACCTAAACCCTACAGTAACCCACACAGCAACATGAAAACATACAGCAATACCCAAAGAGCAGAAACATTTGCCAAACTGTATGGTATGGCCCTTCTTGCTTTCTGACAAGAATCATTTAATTAAGTATGTTCTGTAACATATTGTGTCGTGATTTTCAATACAACAAATGTTTCCAAAATTTTTGTCCCAGCATCTCCATTAAAAAATATTCTGGCATTATCTTGCCCCCATTTCATCCCATAATTATAAATTTATATTTTTACCCAAATGTTTAGTTAGTACATCAATAACTTTTTCTTATGTTACATTTACTTATTTATAGCTGTATATTTTTATACATAAGTTGCCGATTTCTGTTACAGTTTTGAAGCCTCAGAATTTCAAAAAACCCACTAAATTATAACATGTAAAAACACTATCTATTCAAAGATGAAAGCAAGCTGTCAAACTAAATCTTTTTTTTATAGATAATATAAAAGCAAGCATTATTTTAAAATTTAGAATAAATATTTTAACCAGAAGCTAATTTTGCTTAAATGAAAAAAATTTGAAAGTCTTCAACTTACGATTGCCTCATTAATGGAATATTCACAGCATTAGCAGCAGCCACTGCAGCAAATGGGACGAATCTCTGGATTAATGGACTTGCGCGCTGGAATACAATTGTTCAATTAATGCACCAGTTATGCAGAAATTTATTAAACACAAATGCATACATTTCTGGAATTCTTGAAACTGAACTGAGTTAAATTTAATTTGAAACAAAGTATATGTGAAATTGATGGCTGTTGTGCAACTGAATTTGTATACAAAATTATGGTCTCAAAATGTTTATTTGTTTATTACCCTTAAGAATAGTTAAACTTTGAGTACTAAAAACTTAAGCAGAATTTTTGAGTAGCAGTTGTTTATTTGAGGAAGAGGCAAAAACAGCTGCGCTCACATGGGCACAGATTAAGGGAGCAGCCCAAAACAGAGTCTGCTGGAAATGTGTAGTTGCAGCCCTTGGCTCCCCAGGGGCCACAAAGGAATGATGATGGTGATGAGTTGTTTATTTATCCAGTTTTTTTTTCAGGTTTTAATATTAGAGTACACACTTCAACTTGAAACTTTTACATTAAGTTCAAGATTGTGTATTTTAGTTTTTAAGGCAAACTTAACTATCTATATAATTATAAGACACTAAAAATCTTACCGTGGCTAAAACTTTTTTTAAACCAAGAGCCACAACCAAGGCTGATGTAGTTGCACTTACATATGCAGTTATGAGGCGTCTAAAATGAAAAATAGATAATTAATAATACAATTTTTTTTTAAGTTTTTTTAATGAAAATTAATTTTTTTAAAAAGAGGGTTAAAATATGTCATCAAAAACATTTTCTAATAAAAAAAGAAAAAGAAATCATAACTTTTTTAACAGAACAAAAACAAAACCAACTTGTTATCAACCTGAGTTGTTGCATTGCTGTTGGTGTAATTAACTAAAGCATTGAAAGACTGATTAGCCCATTGCCAGAATATGACAGCACCAGTTGATCTGAAATATTTTAAACAATTATTTATTCTTTAAAGAATACAAAAACAAAATATAGAATAAGGCAGTAAATATATTTTAATCTACAGATAAAGATATTTTAAATTTAACTTTTTGCATCATTAAAGCAGAGGGTGTGTTATACTAGCACAAAAGTATTGGAAAGGACAGGAAAAATCTCAGAGGAGCAAGAAATTTGGAAAAGAATTTGGATGTGGATATGCCATGCATTCAGGAAAATGGCAACTAGGAGTATCAAACATGGCATATCATGGAATCCACAAGGTTTGCTAAATAGTTTGAAGATGGAGACTTAAAACAACCTAGCAAAGGGACAGTGAAAATGATATGAAATTAATTGGAAAGAGTCAGAGAGAAATGGAAAAAATAGCAAAGGACTAAGAAAAAATGGAAGGATGTTTTAAAATGCTTTAGTTAAAAAAGGCAAAGAAGAAGAGTTATATCAAATTAACTTGTGCGGAAAACTTGCTTGTAAAAAGTGATCATTGCACCAATAAGCACCATGCCACCAGGGACTTGGAATGACATGCGACCAAAAACATTCTGCAGATCCCCTGAGTCTGGGTGGAAGGCTGAGAGTGTAACCTGCTGTGTTTTTCGTATGTCTGCTTCTGTAGTTCCGTCTGGCTCTATACCTTGCCTAGGAAGTAGAAATATTTAACAAAAACTTGCGTAATTAACAAACAGTACAATATGGACTTTGCAATAAACCTAGATATTTAATTTATACTGTTTTTGCTTATGGTAAAAGCTACAGATACCAAATATACTTGAAAAAATGTAGGAAGTTAATATCAATGCTTTTGCTGATAATGCTATTAAAACCAAAGACTGACCCTATCCCAATCCTAAGATTAATATAGGAAATTAAAAAACAATATGTAAATATACTATTATCCTAGCATTTTTTAAACAGTTTTAAACTGATTAATATCTACAAATCCTTGATAGTTTATGACACAAATGAAAATGATAGAGCCTTGCAAAGAAATTATTTCAAGTTTGTTAAAGAACAATAAATAGGGCCTACAGACAATAAATATTTTGAAAAACAATTACCTATACTTCTCCAGTAGCTCTTTGGATTCATAAAGCTGTTTAGAGCCAATGATTGTTAACCTAGGATCTGTGATCCAAAAAAAGTGGCGTAGACGCCCCAAAAAAGTTGACTGATCATAAGGGGATTCTTTGATATCAATTCTGAGTGACATGGTCTGAAAATACAAAGGCAGTTATTAGTTTAATGTTGTTTTTTGAAAACCAGTGGTCAGTAGGTGCCATTTGGGGTAACAGATCACGCCTGCCAGCATTTTCCATGTGTATAGGTTAGGAAAATGGACAATCGAGAACACTCTTCTATTTTGTAGAGTTAACTGGTTATAATTGTTTTGTTTTTTTGTTTACAGTAAAATTCCCACCTGATGCAGTGGTAGCAAGATTTGGTGCTGGGGAGGGGGGGGGGGGGCGCTGATGGGTTCTGATCCCATCTGGCTAAAAACAGCTTTGTCTTTTCAAGGACTATATTTATATTAATATTTAAATATTATAATTTAATATTATGTAGACTTTCTGCCTGTGTCTAACTCTGACATTGAAATAATAATATTCTACTCTTAACTCTAATTCTTAAACAGAGATTGTTGATATATTTTAAATTTTATAGATCTATCAGCAAAAAATTTAAAAAGGGTGGCCACTTCCTTATATTATTTTATTATTCATTATTAATATTGTTATTTAATATTTATAGGCTACTTATTAGTAAGTTATTAGTAACTTATTAGCCTACTTTAAAACTTTATTATAATTATTAATTAGGCCCTAAAATAATAGATCTAGTAATTAATAATTATTAGCCTAAATTAAAGTTGTTTTTAATTTAAACTTTTATAATATAAAGTATTAGATTAGGCCCTATAAAGTTATTATTAATAATATTAAACGCCAAGATTAAGATCTAGACCTAGATTAGCTACAAATATATTTTCAATAATTTTTTTTTTACTTTGGCCACTGTGAGTAGAGGAGTTCAGAGAGGTATAAAAATAAAGAGATCTGAAGTTACTAAAGTGCTATAAAAGTTAACTAAAGGGTCAGCAACATAATATTCATGATAGTCACCTCCCTTACTGATAATGGTATTCTCTAATATAGAAAATCATGAAGGCTGATTGTGTTCACCCCAAACTGATGACGTCACGCGTAGTTACAGAGCAGTCATATTGTGTAGTGTGAAATTCTTTCACTATTGAATCATGGTATGGATTAATAGTTTTACTCGTCTAGTCATGAATAGATTACTTAAATATTTCAAAACATCTAGATCTAGAATCTAGCCTTTAGTGGCTAAACCATAGGCCTATCCATTTTTAATTTTTTTAGTTCCATAGCTCCACAATTTTTCACTGTCTAATCACACATTCTTCACTTCACTCAGTAAATGTCAGTCAGTGTCAGTAATCTTCAGATTTGACCGGAATAAAAGAAAAGATGAAGAAGAGTAGAGTGGAGTTAGATCGACAGTCTAACTTAGAGTCTAATATGAAATTTCTAGATCTAGAGATCTAGCTAGACTAGAATTGGATTATCTAGATAAAGATAAGATTAAGATAGACTCAGATAGAGTCTGAGTTAGCCGTAGCCATAGCACTCTCAAAATTTCAGATGACAGATAGATCTAGCCTAGCCATTTCTAGGTGATTAGGAATCTGGCAATCTGCTGACCAGTTCAGATTCAGAAGATCATTTTGTTCAGCAGGGTGTCAGTGACTCTTGTGAATGTTTGTTAGGCTATGTTAATATAATAATATTAAATTAATAATAATAATAGTAATATTACATATGTTTCGTTGTTGGAATGAACATGTTGACTCTAAATTCTAAATCTAGAAAACTTCAGAACTAGGCCAAATTAGTTTTGTTTAGGCCTATTTGAAGATAAACCATAGTTTAAACATATTACACATAACACAGTCTGTACACTCCAAGAACAATCAAATTTATAAAATTGAAAGACTGTCTTTATTTTAAAATAATAAAACAAGCCTGGATCTAGGCTTAAATGTTGTTTTTCATATAGACCTAGATTAGATTCTAATCTCATTACTTCTAATATGTAGTGCTACTGTAACTGTAGGTCTTACATACACTGACAACAATGTCCTTTATTTAGAGTACTAGCTCTAGACCCCGAGTCTAGGGCCAGGCTATTCCTTTGGACTTGGTTAACCTAACTTTATTACAATAATAATTAGCCATTATTAATTATTTATAAGTTTGCAAGTCAGTTGGTATAGAACAATTTGAAAAACATATAAATAAAATAAGTACCACATTATATAGGCCTACACTTTTTTTTATGCTATTATTGCTGCCCTGACCTAAACATTCATTGTTAGATATTGTACTGTCCTGTCTGCTGTTTTGAAAAATTAGATAGGTAAACTTGATACATAAGCTGTGATTTATGTCTAGCATATTGAACTTGACATAAGTTAGTTTTAGGCTTTAACAGATAGAAAACAAAAATCACAATTTAAAGTGCTTAAAATTAAAAATCTCTTATGATCCATTTATAATTCATTTGTATATTCATTAGATATATCATTGAGATTTTCATTTTTTGAAAATGATTAGGAATTAAAGAAATATGTTAATTATCACTACTTCACTACTCTTTCCTACATCTGCATTGTCTGTCAACAGGGTTTACTCTCCCTACTGCGTAAGTTGAGATCCAACCCAGATCTAGAACTCAGGATCCTACTCCTTGGACTTGACAATGCTGGCAAAACCACACTGTTAAAAGTTTTAGCGTCAGAAGATATAACACACATAACACCAACTCAGGTGAGATTTCTACATATTTGTTTTCTGTGTAAAAAAAAATTAACATTTTATGAAACAATGTGAAAAAATGTGTGTAAAATATACAATTGTTTTTAATTTTTTTCAGGGCTTTAATATAAAATCCGTGCAATCTAAAGGGTTTAAGTTGAATGTTTGGGATATTGGAGGACAGCGACGTATTCGACCTTACTGGAAAAACTATTTTGAAAACACTGACCTACTTGTAAGTTAGCTTTTTGTTTATCTTTTTCAAAAACAGATTCACAGCAAATTTTTTTATCTAAACTATAAGCTGACTCAACCGCTGTATTTACATCAGTATCAGTATCTTTACATACTGTTAGGTATAAAGCAAATTAGATCTTCATTGCCAAAATATAATTAAGGAAAAATATTTTTTATAAACTCCTTTATTAATAATATTATATTATCAATAAATGTTGGTTGGTTTTTTTTTAAAACAGATTTATGTGATTGACAGTTCAGACAGAAAAAGATTTGACGAGACAGGAGAGGTAAGATTTCTTTATTGTTGTGTTTGAAATATTGCGTTTCCTTAAAGTCATAGGCAATGATTTGCATCATACACAAATTGGCTTTAAAGTATTTCTTTAACTTATGAAATACTCCTTAAATACTCCATACCATTTAGAATTAAAAATTGCTAGCATTTTATATATTTGTTCGAAAAGGTCTATTGTGAAGAAAACTCTGTTGCAGGAACTGACAGAATTATTAGAAGAAGAGAAATTGGCTGGTGTTCCGGTCTTGATTTTTGCCAACAAACAAGATCTCATGACGGCAGCTAAAGCTAGTGAGATTGCAGAGGGCTTAAACCTCAATTCCATCAGAGATAGGGAGTGGCAGATTCAAGCATGTTCAGCTGTGTCAGGAGAGGGTGTTAAGGTTAGTCTGCATCAAGATTTTTAACACAACTCTTATTTTGTATACCTTTTTTAATTAATTTTTTTTTAAAAGTTTTCCAAACTTATTGTGTTCTTTTAATAAATTTCTTCTGTGAATTATGTATAACGTAACTAGATAGGTCACTTTATTTTAGATCAAATGGTAAATTTGGTAGATCAAGTAGAGTTGATCTGTATTTGCTTTATGAAGGGATTATGTGATGGAACTGTGCCCAACCACTTTTACTTCCCCATACACGTCAGGCATCCATTAGATCTTGGTTGGCCTAGAGACATTGTGCAGTCTTGACCTCAACTTCTGAGGTTGAGACTTTCAGTATTGGGCTCCCTCACTTGACTTCACCATGCTATGTCCTCAAATGAAGATTTTCTACCCTTTTTACAGGAAGGTATAGAATGGATGACAAAAACATGCAACAACAGAAAGAAATGATTCAGGCTTAACACGTGTTTGCTAAATGAAAATATGCTGGCAATATTCATCTGCAGTTATGTTTATCCAATCAAAATTTAACATTTTTTTTTCACATCACCAACAATTAATCTCATTGCAATTATTTTCTTTTAGGGGGACCTAAAACATTGTAATCCAAACTAAAATGGGTTGTAAAATAAAACTGTAAGCTAGATACTCAACTGTCATGAAGTAAGCCTTATCGTTTCAGTTGACATTAATCATAAATTACAATTGATAGGATATTTTTTAGAGGTAACAGTAAAATCTGGTCACTTAACTGGCCTAAATTTAGCACATCCTGCCAGTTATTGCTACATCCTAAATTGGCATCTTTTGGATCAATGCACAGGTATGACTTTAAAACAAGTTTTTTATTTTTAACTTTAATGTATCTGGTATTTTTTTATCTAACTGTTTATTTATGTGTGTGCTAAACACGTTTGATCTCTGAGGAACAAATACATTTTAAAAAATGGAAGTGTGAAAGTTCTACAGATGGGTATGCCAGGTTGTCCAAACTTTTTGTTACATATTTGTGTTGTAGCTGTATCAAAGGTCAGCTTTTTAAGTCGTAACTTACATTTGTATTTGTGGTCAACCCAATGCTTGGTTATATTTTCTCATTAAGCTAAACTAAGAAGATCAGTTAATCCAATTTAGGCCTATGTACTGAAACCTAACTAATAACCATCCAATACTTAATTTTTTAAATTTTGTCTACTTACATGTTTTGCCATCAAAATGTAACAAGTTGTGGTCAAAATATTGAGATAGAAGTAGGCTTAAATCTATGAAATACAATAGGCATTTTTCTAAAAGTACTGTTTAAGTCTGATGTTTATTTTTCACCACCAGAGATTTAGTGCTGGGAGGTTGATTTGTTGAAAAGCCAGCTGTACAGTATAGCTGCTTTGTTGTTATAAAGCTGATATTTTGGTCTTTAACATGTCAGTACATAAGAAAATATCACAAATTTCTTATTCATTTCTTTAAGCTTTTTGGAGAGTTGTATTAAGCCGCAACTTATTCCTTTTTTTTATATAGGTTTTAATTCCCTGCCTAGTTAAACTAAATAGCCCTTGGCACAGCTTTTGATATTCGTGTTGTTTTTTTTTTTGGGGTTTTTTTTTTTTTTTTTTACATTTTTGAGACCGCTTTTAACTTTTTTTGACACTAAATTAGTGGGTTTTTTTACTTAATACATTCAGGCAGACTGAATGAATAGATCAAATTTTCCCAAGTTGTTTTAATCTTGGAATTAAAACTTGTGAATCATTCAACTGTTACCCAACCTTGAGTTGTTGACATACGTTTTTATCACAAATTACGCCGTCCTGTTGCCCAGACAACATTCCTTTTTACATGCAACGTCCAATTTATGAAATTATTTTTTTGAAGTATGTATCACAATTTTTACAATTCAAGATCTGTCACATTTGATCTGATACTGGCACATATTTGTGTTGTTTTTTTTATATATGTGCTCACTCAAACCACAGAAAATAAATTTGCAGGTTAATTGTTTCAAAACATTCTGAACAGACTTGTAGATTATGTGAACAATCTTGAAACAGCCTAATGTAATTAAAGGTTTTATGAACTTATAATTTATTTTTTACAATATTGAAATACTTAAAGTTAAAATAATTTCATTCATGTAACAGATTTTTTCATTGAAAAAATGGATTGTCAAAAAAGCTTAAATCCTTTTTACTGTTTAAAAAGTCTGTATGTTTATTTTTATTTAGTTGTCTCAAAGCCTGTGTTGTCTGAATGCTTAGTTTGAAGGCAGGTTCTGCATTTATTTTGAGCATCTGTTGATGGGCTGTTTTAGAAATATTTGTTCATTGTGTCTGAGTGGGGAGTCAATAAATAATTTCAATACAAATGATGTTGTTGATTATCTTGTGCAAATGATGAAGTTGGATAACAGTAATCTCTAGTTGAGTTCAGTCAGAGACATAACAGAGCTCCCAGCTATTCAAGTCAACTATCAAAATTAGTGCCCTCCCTATCCCTATATATATATATATATATATATATATATATATATATATATATATATATATATATATATATATATATATATATATATATATATATATATATATATATATATATATACATATATATATATATACATATATATATATATACATATATATATATATATATACATATATATATACATATATATATATATATACATATATATATATATATATACATATATACATATATATATACATATATACATATATATATATATATACATATATATATATATATATATATATATATATATATATATATATATATATATATATATATATATATATATATATATACATATATATATATATATACATATATATATACATATATACATATATATATATATATATATATACATATATATACATATATATATATATGTATATATATACATATATATATATATGTATATATATATGTATATATATATATATGTATATATATATATATGTATATATATATACATATATATGTATATATACAGATATATATACAGATATATAGAGAGGGATCTGTGCAGAGTTTCTTCCAGTCATTTTCTGCGGGGGGGGGGGGGCGGACACTGGTAAAAGTATATATTGTCTATATAAATTCAATTTCGTTCGAAGGGTGGAGGGGAGGTAGACGTTTTATGGGAATGCCTGAAGAGATGCCTGGAAGAAACTCTAAGGGGAACCCATAGAACTACCTCAATCTCCCAGCGAATGGGGAAAATTGATAACCACATTTGGGCCCAGCAGACGGTGAAACCACATAGGTCACACAAATATTAAAACAAATGAATGGTGCTCAAATTATAGTATTCACACAAAGTTAAGTACCATTTTCGGTTTTTTAATTTAAAAAAATGAGCATTAAATGTAATACTTTTATGTAAAATTTCGTCCACCTAAATTAAACGGTATTCAAGGTATTGGCTTTTGAGAGTAACTACAATTTCTGATACCGAAAATCGTTCAAATTTGATGCAGAATTAAAAATGTGATATGATAATTATGGGTCGTCCATAAATGACGTCACACTCGAAGGGGGGAGGGGGGGTCCGTAATTTTGTGACGGTGTGTGATGAGGGGGGGGGGGGGGGTTCAGATGGTGCGACGTCACACTTTTGCATTATAAAAAAGCAATGTTAAAAGCTAACTTAAGACGTTATTTCGCGTTTTAGAAAACTGTTTTTTAATAAATTGCAATAGGAATTGAT